ATGAATTTTAAATATGGAAAATGTCAACTTTTCTTCAGCATTTCAATGCTGCTTATATATATTTCATACATTTTTTTCTGATTAAAGTGCAGGTGTAGACAGACACAGTGATGCTTACTTGTAACCACAGGTACCTGGGAATCTAGGGTTAGGGGATACGAGTGAAAAACCAGTTTTGGCAATATAAGAGGGTATGTCTCAAAAAGGGAAAAAAAGAAATGAAGGGAGGGAGGGAGGGAAGGAGGAAGAGAGAGAAACAGAAGGAGAGAGAGAGAGAGAGAGAGAGAGAGAGAGAGAGAGAGAAATTTGGGGTTGGAGAGATGGTTCAGCAGTTAAGAAATCACACCTTTTCCAGGGCATTCAAACTTGCTTCCTGTTCTCTGACTGGGCAGCTCACAACTGCCTGAACTTCAGTTTCAGGGTGTCTAACACCCTTTGTTGCCCTCCTCAGCACCCACGTATGTGTGATATACAGACACACACATTCATATAAATAAATTTTTAATAAAATACATTTTAAATATATATATACATATATATATATATATATACATACATACACATGCATACATACAGTAACATGAGGACTGGCTTGTTGGGGTTTCTGTCCCGCCCGGCTAGCTCAGTTGGTAGAGCTTGAGACTCTTAATCTCAGGGTCTGAACAACTACACAGTCCCAGTCCGTCCACCGACGACACTGGAGAAACAACATCCCAGTAGCCTTGTGTGCTGAGTCCTTAACTTGGTTTCTAAACATGATTCAACCCCCGAGGAGTCAGAACTCAGAGAAATGGTGGGTTTAAAAGCCACAACAGGCAAAATAGATGATTCTGGAAAAATCGTTCAGTGCCCAAAAGCGTGGAAGTCCTCAGAGACCAGTGGGTTCTGTTGAGGCTTGAGAGGATCAAAGCCAGCTTGAGGTTCCCACCACCAAAGATGAAGAAATTTGGGGCTAGGAGTACAAAGAGACCAGTAAGATGGATCAGCTGGCTAAGCATTCATCATTAGTTCAATCCCTGGAACCTATTTAGAGGAGACAACTAACTCCTCAGAGCTGTCTTCCAGCCTTCACACATGTACCCTGGTACCCTTGTCCGCTCATCCCCACATTCTGCACATATACACAATAATAACGATTTTTAAAAGAACCAAAAGTGGCTCCAGATAAAACTAAAGACATAACAAGTCAGCTCGGGGGCTAAGTCTAAACTTGGCCCATTTACTTACAGGATATTTGGGAGCCCCAGCTTAAATAGAAGCTGAGGCTCCCGTGGCAATGGCATCTCAATGTTAATGTGATTTTGATGGTTGTGTCGTGTTGTGGGAGAATGCCTTTGCTTGTAGGGAATATACAGCACAGTGTCTGGGGGTAATAGCGGGGGAGCACTTTACTCTCGGATATTTCAGGAAGATGAAAAGATTCTTAGCCCATATTTGCAGGTGCTCTGTCAGTTTGAGAATTTAAAATTGTAAATTAACATCAATCTATTATGATATTAATTATATTATAATTATAGTATAATATCATAATGTTATGAAAGTAGACTAATTTCATGGTACTATCATCGAAAAGCTGCATCCATATTGAATATACATTTCAGTTTAAGAGATAAGACATAGCTGGGAATTTATCGCACTAACAGAGTGTATGCATTTCAGAGGCCCTGTGCTTAACCCTGGTATTATTAAAAACAAAAAGAGCATAAAAACGTGGTACTAACAAAAACAAATGACTCAGCATTTTCGAACCAGCAGCGTGAAAGCACAGCTGTGTTCATACAGCTAAAACTTTAAACAGTTGCTGGGGCTGGAGACTGAGAACCTGTCAAAGAAGTTTTGTTTTGTTTTGTTTTTGCTTTTAAGCCTGCTCTTTAAAGTTCATTCTTCAGAGTTTAATAAAGAAGATAATAAATACCAATATCAACACAGATGTGCTCTTGAGATCTCTGTTCTGGGATACACGAATCTTAGTTTCCACTGCGAGTTAATCAGCTATTGGAGGGGTTGACGAATTGATGATGACTTTTAAGATAACCTCACAAGCGAGAATACTCTTCACACCATAGCCTATGGCACAGGTACTATGATTCCTTTGCCAGATTTTGTCCATAAGGGCGTGAGGGGGGCTGCATGTGTGTATTTCTGTATGGCAGAATGCACACACATGCAATTGCTCACAGAGGCCTCTGGTGTGGATCCCCAAAGAGCTGGAGCTACAGGAAGTTGTGAGACATCTTACTTGGGTGCTTGGAACCAAACTCAGTTCTCCTGTAAGAGCGAGGTGCACTTAGCCACAGCCACCTCTCCAGGGCCTGGAGTCTTGTTTGATGAGCCCCAACCTTACAATCATGGTGAACACACTTGCCAAAATCCCATTTGACAAGACCAAGAATGAACTATGCTGCACACAACGGGCAGAAGTGATGTGTTGGTCCACCTTGATGTCTGACAAATGTACCGGTCTAGTGGAGGCCTGAGGGTGCGGTGGGAGAGGCTCCGCTGGTGTGGATACAGACGTACATGGGAAAGACACCTTCCAATCTATTCTGCTGTGCGCTGAAAACAGCGCTAAAGAATAACATCTGCTATATCCTCAGTGTGCTTGCCCTTCCAAGTCAGGGTTTCTGGACCTTTCAATTCTTTCAACAGCTTTGAGACAATGGCGTTTCCTCTAAGTTTCCTCTATACATGTCCTTCCAAGTATCTGTGAGGCAATTGTTATTCTTGTGTTTGCACCTGTAATTGTCCTATTTGGCATGTCCCTTCCCAAACTCCTCAAGGGACAAATAATGTCAGGGATTTTGTTTCTTTCTTCTGTCATCATAAGATGAAAAAGCACATAAGAGAATTTGGGAACCAAGGTGTAATGTCCCTTTGTTAACTGCCTTTGTTTTAGGTTGAGGTCTGCCAGGGACAATGAATGAGCCCAACTCTTTGAGGTTTCAAAGTTCCCATTGTGTTCTTTGTTCTGCTGTGCACTCGTAGGGGTAAAAGTCATTTAATTTTAGGTTGGTTTGGAATACTCGGAACATAGTCTCTCTTAAAAATATAATCTCAAATTTTCTATCAATAAATAAATATTTACCTAGTAAGAGTAGAATCTCACAAAACAGTATAGTCTGAGGAAGGAATTCCAGCAAGACCGGTTTCTAGCTCTCCAAGAAAAAGTGTGAAGAGAGAGAATGGTGCCTTAGGGGTCCTGGGAACTGGAAAAGGCATAAGACAGGGAAGCAGGGCTGGAGAAGAAAGATGGGTTCGTGGGTTCGTGGGTTCGTGGGTCTCTAAAAGGTGGTGTGGTGGCGAGTGGGTCTAACGCTGAGCTGAGTAAGGAAGCTGAACAGCTCGAGGCTCTGGTAAAGGATGGAGCCGAGGTGCAACGTGCCGCGTCTCCTCGCACTCCCATCACATCTCAGGCAACTAAGTGAAGGCACAGCCTTGCCCCTGGCTGTTCGAGGTGCTTTCATTGGCTCCTCTAACTGTGATGTATGTGTGAAATGTGTCTATTTTCTCGCTTCCATCATCCTTCAGTCTCCTCAGCAGCCGCTGCTCCCGCTCTCACCCTCTGAGACTGGTGACTCGGCTCCAGCAGCCGAAAGAATGTTAGGAAGTCACAAGCCCTCCCAAGCTGAAGGGCCAGGTCCCACCCAGGCTATAGGGCCTTGTCTGTTACCCTTGCACTTTAAACAAAGGTCAAAGTTTTCACCTTTGCCTGCCTCCTCAGCCCCAGCTCAAGCCACACACGCCTGCTCACTGTACTACATCACAACCTCATAAGGTACCTGGTCCTCACCTTAACCCCACTCCCCTCCCACACACACACCCCTGACACCTCCTGCTCCACCACTGATTCCCCCTCTTCATTCTGCTCTCAGCTTGCTCAGATCAGTTTCTCAGAGGCCTACTAGACAGATCCCAACAGTTAGTGTCCATGACAACACAGGTTTCACATCACTGTGCACCTCTCAGTTTGGAACTACCTACTGACTTATATGGTCCTGCCCTCCCAACAGACAGCAATCCTTGCCAGGACGGCAGCTGGGTTTTAGCTAATGTCCTGGCACAGTCTTGCCAGCACCTCACACTTAGGAACATCCACTATCAAAAGGAGCATGGGGCATGGGCTTCTCGATGCCCTCAAACCAGAAAAGCCTTGACTCTGAGACCATGGTAAAGATACAAGACATTCTTGATTTTAAAAAATAAAAATTAAAAAGCTGAAAGCTTTCTGTTGTATGAGGCCAATTGTTTGTTCCCAGCTGCTCAGCCCCGAAATAATCACACAGAAACCATATTATTTGCAATACTATTTGACCAATAGCTTAAGCATATTCTGGCTAACTCATGTCTTCAATTAACCCATCTCCATTAATCTGTGTATCGCCACAAGGCTATGGCTTACCGGGTAAATTTCCAACCGGTCTGGAGTCTGTCTCCGGGGCTACATGGCTTTTCTGACTCCACCTTCTTTCTCCCAGCATTCAATTTAGTTTTTCCTGCCTACCTCTATTCCGCCCTGCACAAGCCTAAGACAGTTTATTAACCAATGGTATTCACAGTATACAGAGGGGCATCCCACATCAGCTTTCTATAGGAGAGAGGAATGGAGCTGAGGTTAAAGTATAAGCCTACTTTCATTAAAGAGGGCTGAGGAAATATTCCTAGAGTGAAGAGCTGGCCACATGGTTCAGTGGCAGAATGCTTACCTAGCATGTGGGAGGTCATAGGTTCAATCCCCACCCCTTTGGCACTCAGAGGTGTGGGGGCAGTGGATAATGAAAGAGAAGTTGGCAAGAAAATCCTAGGAACAGAAGCCAGTAAGAGCATTCTAGTGAGGCAGAGACTCTAGAAAGCAGCCACAGCCACTATAGATGGTCATGTCGGGTTCCTGCTCTAACCGGTCCAAGGAACAAACATGTGGGAACTATGAGGGCGGACCTACCTTTTGTGCTATGTGTGTATTAACCATCTCTAAATATCGCATCTCTCTCCCTCTTCCCCAGTCACTCCTGGGAGGGCACAGGATGTCAGCTGTCCCCTTGGTTCCTTCCCCTGTGGGAACATCACCAAGTGCTTGCCCCAGCTGCTTCACTGCAACGGTGTGGACGACTGTGGGAACCGAGCAGACGAGGATAACTGCGGTGAGTGAGGGGCTGGGTCGAAAGGCCTGGCCACGCCAACCCGGAAGAGAACTGAACGAAGAGTGTGCGCATGGGCAGGCGGCTGATTTGCTTCCAAATCTACTTTGGGAAAGGAGCAGAATCGGCACAAGACACCCCAAGACCAAGTTCTCAGCACAAAGGAGAATTATTTGCCCTGGAGGTGTAGTCGGAGACTGCTTGCTCATTCCCAGCCACCCAGATCCGAAATAATCACACATAAACTATATTAATGAAAACACTACTTGGTCTATTAGCTTAGGCATCTTCCTTCCTTATTTCTTTCTTTCTTCCTTCCTTCCTTCCTTCCTTTCTTTGTTTTGTTTTGTTTTGTTTTTGTTTTGCTTTGTTTTTCAAGACAGGGTTTCTCTCTAGCTTTGGAGCCTGTCCTGAAACTAGCTCTTGTAGACCAGACTGGTTTCGAATTCACAGAGATCCACCTGCCTCTGCCTCCCAAGTGCTGGGATTAAAGGTGTGCATCACCACCACCTGCCTTAGTTTAGGCTTCTTATTAACTAACACCTACATCTTAAATTAACCCATTCCTATTATTTTATATTTTATCACTTTTACCACAAGACTGTGGCCTATGGGTGGGCATCTTTCTCCTTAGGCAGCTACATGGCATTTCCCTGACTCTGCCTTTTTTCATTCTCTATCTGCTTGGAATTCCTGTCTTACTCTATTCTGCCCTGCCATAGGCCAAAGCAGTTTTATTCATTAACCAATAAATGCAACATACATACAGAAGGACTTCCCATACCTTTTTACCTTTTCTGTCCAAAGAAAAAGGAAGATTTTAACTTTAACATAGCAAGATTACATACAACAAAACAGTTACCGAGAAAGAACTATAGTTACAATATTTAGTCTACTTATATTTGACAAATTAAGGAAAATATTCTATCATCTATCATATCTTTGTGAGTCTAAAGTTGTATATATAATTTATCTTTTATCATAACTAAGGAAAACTGTAACTATATCACTCTTCAACTCCATCAAAAACCCCAGAAAAAATATAATATTAAACAGTAATATAAGTAAACAGGAAATATAAATAAACAGGAAGTATATTGTAAGCAATTTCCAAAACTCTAGAATTGACAGAGACATTCCACTGCCTGGACAATCACCCAGAGTTCTTCTGTAACATTGGGGCATCCAAAATTAGCCTACAGGCCCATAGTATCTCACAGTTTTCCATGCAACAAGAAATTTGAAAGACTATTTCACCTATATTGGCAGTTTGTCAGTTACTTTCTTCTGTTTCCTGCAGAATGTCTGGAAAACTCTTTCATGAAGCAGGAACCCCAAAGGACAGTCTCAATTTTGGCAAGTTCAGCAGTCATTTTTCTGTGGGTGTTGCATGTCCAGTTTACATAGTATACCATCAAGCAATCCAGGCGAGAGCAGTTTCTTGCCCAAATGGCTAGCCTTGTCCCATTGCAGGCAAATTCTATAATGAGTTTTTTTAATGCCTTTCAACTTCTCTGAAGTAATTGGTGCTTCCAGAAGCAGACATGAATGACTCACTGTTGAGAAAAGTCTAAGTTCTTAAAACATTTTATATGGCTATTCTGAAAGTCTATGAAAGGGTTGAAGAATACCTGTTCATCTGAAATATATCTCTGTACATCTAGAAAAGCTAATTAACATAACTACAAACTTGAATATTATAGATGACTATCTATTAGCCTGTATTTCTTAATTATATATTACATTTTTAAATGAGTTACATAAACACAATACCTTAATCAAGAGCATAAATATACAAATAACAAAATTGACCTTAAATTTATAACAATGAACCAAGATCCATACCAATGCAAAGTATTGATCTTTATGTCATATCACCCTTTAAAGGAAAGCAAACATTTAAACAATATTTGAGAATTTGGGCAAAGTTCTCTCCTAACTGCTTCCTACTGGTTGGGGTGTTGTTAATCAGGTCTTACATGGGGCATCCTGTGTAGTAGGTCTATCTCAGCCAGAAGTCCTGAAGCTGTTGTGGATGCTGGACCATCTGGGCCATTGCTTCAGGGGGTCTTGTTTGATCAAACCATATTAGCTGGTAAGGAATCCAAAGCTTTCTGACCTCTGTGAAAACAAAAGCAGAACCTCTTTTATAAAACAACATATCCTTAGACCCAAATTTTGAAGCCAGTATACCTTTAAAATATTATGTTGGTTTAGCTTAGCAGCCCATACAATAAAATGTCTCTCTGTACTTAGTTCATTCACAGTCAAAACATTCAATGAAAATACAATAATATACATAATCCAGACTCTCTATGTATTTTCCATTTTATGTGTCTTTTTTTGTTCTTTTAATGTATGACTGCCTATACTCTGTGTCTAGATAGATGGTAAATGGCAATTTATAAAGGAAAAAGGGGAAGCCCTGTGTTAGAATGAGTTAGTGTGTTTTGATTGGGCATATTAATTAAGGTAGCCAAAGGGGAGCTTTTGATTGCTAGACTTCAATACTTTGATAGCTCAACCTTGGTAGTCAGCCTCAGGAGAAGGAAGTGGCTAAATAAGGGAATAGAGTTAGGGGGCTAGCTTCAAGGAATGTAATCTAACAGTTTAGCAAGGTCTAAGGAGTGGAGGAGAAGGGCAAGGCCTGACAGAGCTATGTTTGCCATATTTGGGCCTATTAGAGCCGTCTGCCTCCCTAGTACAGTGATGAACTGTCATTTGGTTTTTTCTTTTTTTTTAAATTGTTCTTATTGAGCTATATATTTTTCTTCCCTCCCCTCCCTTCCTCTGCCCTCCCTTTACGCCTCTTCCATGGTCCCCCATGCTCCCTATTTACTCAGGAAATCTTGTCTTTTTCTATTTCTTATGTATATTAGATCCATGTATGTCTCTCTTAGGGTCCTCATTGTTGTCTAGGTTCTCTGGGATTATGAATTGTAGGTTGCTTTTTCTTTGCTTTATGTATGAAAGCTACTGATGAGTGAGTACATATGACATTTGTCTTTTTGAGTGTGGGTTACCTCACTCAGTATGATGTTTTCTAGATCCATCCATTTGCCCACAAATTTCAAGATATCATTATTTTTTCTGCTGTGTAATACTCCATTGTATAAATGTACACCATTTTCCTTATCCATTCTTTGGTCGAGGGACATTTAGGTTGTTTCTAGTTTCTAGCTATGACAAATAAAGCTGCTATGAACAGAGTTGAGCACATGTCTTTGTGGCACAATTGAGCATTGTAACATAGGGGCCTGTTTGTTGGGGTTTCTGTCCGGCCTAGCTCCCACAGCAAGTAAGTCCCAAATAAAATCACACAGAGAGTCTGCATTAGTTATAAACTGATTGGCCCATTAGTTCAGGCTTCATATTAGCTCTTTTTATAACTTATATTAGCCCATTATTTTAGTATATGTTAGCCACATGGCTCAGTACCTTTTTCAGTGGGGCAAGTCACATCTTCCTTCTTTCATGTCTGGGCAGGACTGGGGAGGAATGGGCTTCCTCCTTCCCAGAATTCTCCTGTTCTCATTGACCCGCCTCTATTGTTGTTTAATGTTGGCATGTTTCCAAGCGGCCTGCGAGCCAGGCAGAGGCTGCCACCAGAGCAGTGCACGGCAGCAGAGCTGGTCCCGCCATGCGGCCAGGAGAGTCAGGCAGGGCAGGTGTGGCGGATAATAGTAAATAGACGTACGGCTAAACATAAATCTAAACATTTATTACTTAAAGAAGAGGGAGACAGAGAGACATAAAAACAGACATAGAGACACACAAAAGACACATGTGCACACACCAAGAGAAAAGGACAGAAGAAGGAAAGGGTTAAGATGGCAACGAGGGAGGTCAGAAGTGGCTGGGAGTGGGCGTGGCTTGCCCTTAAAGGGACCAGAGCAGAATAACAGCCTCTACTTCCTGTCTGGTTGTCCCACCTATACTTCCTACCTAGCTACTGGCCAATCAGCATTTATTTAAAACATAATTGACAGAATATAAACAATTGTCCCGCACCAGAACATCCTCTCGTTATATACCCAAAAATGGTATTGCTGGGTCTTAAGTAAGTTATTTCCTAATTTTCTGAGAAATTGCCACACTGACATCCAAAGGGGCTGTACAAGTTTGCACTCCCAACAGCAATGGAGCAGTGTTCCCTTTACCCTACATTCTCTCCAGCATAAGTTGTCATCAGTGTTTTTGATCTTGGACATTCTTAAGAGTATAAAATGGAATCTCAGAGTTGTTTTGATTTGCATTTCTCTGATGACTGAGAATGTTGAGCATTTCCTTAAACGTCTTTCAGCCATTTTTGATTCCTCTGTTGAGAGTTCTCTGTCTAAGTCTGTACTCCATTTTTTATTGGATTATTTGTTCTTTTGATGACCAATTTCTTGAGTTCTTTGAATATTTTGGAGATTAGTCCTCTATCTGATGTGGGTTGGTAAAGATCTTTTCCCATTCTATATGGTGTCATTTTGTCTTATCAACCATATCCTTTGCTTTACAGAAGCTTCTCAGTTTCAGGAGGTCCCATTTATTAATTGATTCTCCCAGTGTCTTTGATACTAAGTTACATTTAGGAAGTGGTCTTTTGTGCCAAAGCTTTCAAGTGTACTTCCCACTTTCTCTTCTATAAGGTTCAGTGTGGTTGGTTTATGTTGAGGTCTTTGATCCATTTGGACTTGAGTTTCGTGCATAGCAATAGATATGAATCCATTAGCATTTTTCTACATATTGATATCCAGTTATGCCAGCACCATTTCTTGAATCTGCTTTCTTTTTTCCATTTTATATTTTTTGCTTCTCTGTCAAAAATTAGGTGTTCGTAGGTATGTGGATTGATATCCAGGTCTTTGATTCGGTTCCATTGGTCCTCCTGTCTGTTTTTATGCCAATACCAGGCTGTTTTCAGTACTGTAGCTCTGTAGTAGAGTTTGAAGTCGGGGATTGTGATGCCTCCAGAAGTTCCTTTATTGTACAGGATTGTTTTGGCTATGCTGGGC